AAAAAAAAAAAAAAAAGTAGCAGAAAGAATAGCAGCACAGAGGGCAAAAATATATATGGAGGTTGGCAACAAAAAGAAAAAAAAGCAGCAGACTGGCAGATTAAAAATTTTTTTTTTATTTTAAAATAGTCTGAGAAGCAGTATTCCAAAGGCCTAGGTTAAACATTTGGTGTATTTAAAAATCTGATTATTCTTTCACTCAGCACATTTTTTTGACTCTTATTATATGAAAAGAACCAAGCTAAGCATTGAGGATGCCTGGTGCCTGCCCTCAGGGAACTTCCTCTACAGCAAGGATACCTGCTTCATACGTCACCTCCTTACCAGTCTTCCCAAGACCAGTTGTAATTGTGTCCCTCATCTGATTAAAAACCTTACACAGCTCCCCCAGCTAAAGAACAATGGTAAAATTATAGCATTCCTGACTTCCCCTAGTCTTTCCACCATTATTTTGCTTTACTTTTCTCTTCCCCTCCAGACTCCATTTCTCACTCAAGGAAGCAGAAATAAAGTACACCTGTGGGAAGAAAGGCAAAAAAAAAAGCTTCAAGAAGGAGAAATGGGTTGGAGAATCCCTAGTAGCTAGGAAGAAACACAAGTATTTCAATAGGTGAAGGTTTGGGGGCAGAGCACTGGAAGAAAAAGTAGTTTCATAAACAGAGACCTACAGATGGAAAAAGTGAGGACATGGGTAAAGAATCCTAAATGAACATCAATTTCTTTCCCGGGATTTTCCTCCATTTAGGCTGCAGCCCCTTAAAGTTCTATTCTGTTAACACATTTAACTAAAATATCTTCTAGCAACAAGGGGCTTTTTTTAAGCTCTAAAATCATTTCAGTTACCCTCATACTTAGACTTAGATCCCAGACTTAGAAAGCATTTTATGTTTAAAAAAAAAAAAAATCACTTTACGTTTCAGAAAGTCATGGTTTGTCCAGAATGAAAAACAAGTGGAAGGAGGGACTTTGCTTTCTTAATTTCTGCCCATTATTTCCAACAGAACCCCAACAGCAGGAAGGTTCTTAACTTGGGTTCTATGCAAGGGTTTGAGGCACTCCCCTGAAACTTGAGCACAGATTCTTCTAAGTGTAAATGTAGTTTGGGATATAGGGAGGCTCTATGGCACCATCACATATTCAAAGTCAGAGATTCCCCTACTCCCCTCAAAATAACACACTATGGAGAGATTGGGACTCTCATACACTGCTGGTGGGACTGTAAAATGGTACAACCACGGTGGAAAGTAGTATGGCAATTCCTTAAAAAGTTGGAAACAGAAATACCATTTGATCCTGACATTCCATTACTAGGTATATATCCTAAAGAAGTGAGAGCTATGACAAGAACAGACATGCACACCCATGTTCATTGTAGCACTATTTATAACAGCCAAAAAATGGAAACAACCTAGATGTCCATCAACTGAGGAATGGATAACCAAACTTTGGTACATACACACCATGGAATACTACGCAACCCTAACCAATAACCTAGAATCTGCAAAACAGCGCATAACGCAGATAAACTTGGAGGACATTATGCTGAGTTAAGTAAGTCAATCACATAAGGACAAATATTGTGTTAGTCCGTTGTTGTAAAAATCAAGGAAAGGTTTATCTATGGAAGGAAATTTTCTTTGTTGGTTACCAGGGGTGGGAGGGGAGGGGAGGGAATATTGTTAGATAGGTAGAGGTAAGTATTGATTTGGGTGAAGAGAAGGCCAATGTACCAAATGTGAGTGATCAACATGGTGGCATTAAGGAAGAGGAAGACACAGAGAGGTACATGGGAGGTACAAACAACAAAGATAACCCCTTTTGCACACACAGTGCAAAGTAAGACACTAAAACATGAAACTGAATCTCACAGCAATAATAAAATACACGGACTAATAATTTATATGTAAATTATACAATACACACACAAAAAAAACCTAGTAGGTATAACCAACCAATAAC